GTGCACACGTGGTTCACTGTCTAGATTCTCCCCGATCTCTGCTGTCTCTGTCTCACTCCTCTTCCTGGAAAACTCTTACTTATCCTCCAAAACCCAACTCAAATGTTCCCCTTCTCCAAAAACCTTCCCTGCTGCTCTGTGGCACATCTGGTTCTTCCCTCTTGTTCCCAATCACCCAGGACATTCTTTTAAAGTGCTTAACCAGAGCATCAGAATGGTTACCCACAAGGGTAACATTCAGTCTCAACGCTACTGATACTGCGGGCCAGCTAAGTTGTAGTACAGCCCTGTGCGCTGTGGGATGCTTGGCAACATGCCTGGCCCCTACCAACTAGAGAGAGATCAGTAGCACAAAGATGTCTTCAGACGTCGCCAAATCTCTCTTAGGGGGTGGGGCTGGGGGCAAAATCTCCTCGCAACCATTGATTTGAATCTTGGACACTGTGGTCATGGGCAGGGTTCAGCAAGACAAGCTTAGTGACTATGTGTGGGAAACATCAAGAACCAAGGATCGGTTCTATCCTCTGATAAACACTTGCTGAGTGTGTTCATCTTGAACCTCAAATCTTAGGTACAGAACAATCTCTACTACAGATCTGATCATATTACTAGTCTGCCTGACCTCTTTATGGTTCTGGTGGTCTCTGCCCCAGGGCCGCCTGACCACCCACTGCTAGAGCCCCCCACACCCTCACACCAGGCTCTGGCCCGGAACTCCACAACCCCTGCAGGGCACCTCTCGCCCAAGCGCACCTCATCTGGCAGCACAGCATCTGCGCTTCCTCTCAGGGTCACAGCCCCATCCAGTTCCCAGTGCCGGTTTTCCCCACTAGACTTCGAGATCCCTGAGGATGGGCCCTTGGGCTCTGCGAGAAAGCAGATGCTTGGTAAGTACTTGTAACAGGATTCACTGGGGCTCAGGCATAGGAGGCGGGAGGGGCAGGGCAGCGGGGCGGGGATGGAAAGGAAATGCCTATCCTGGGCCAACTAATAACACTCACAGGACCCCTGCTGTGACTCGACACGTGACAGCCAAAGTACCCAAGAATCACCGGCCCACGAAGCAAGTCGCCACGCAGCTCTGTGGCCTGGTCTGAGCCTCTCTCTTCACTTCTTAAAGATCCGACCCCCAGGTCTCTCCTGCTTCAACCTCATGCATGTGCCGCCTGCTCATCTGTCCAGGTGGTACTCCAACATACCGCTCCCTTCTGCCACCTGGGAGCCCGTCACTCCCACCAAGACCACGAACTCCATGCAGGAGGGGCCTCCCCTGGATCTGTGCTCCCCTGGACGCACAGCAGGGACTCAGGAGGCATGTGCAAATAGACAGAAGGGACAACGTCAATCCTTCTGGAGCCATCTGTCTCTTCATGGACCTCCCCCACTCCATGGTGCGGAGGGGGGGCACGCACAGGTGGTCCTTCTGCACATGGCTGGCAGCGGATCACTCCAGGAGAAACTCAGCACTCAAGTTCCACACCCCTGAACTTCACACTGTCCTTTGAAACAGAGCATGGTGAAATCCAACAAATATGTCACTTCCTAGAATTGGATTTTATATGTTATTTTGTCAAATACATGTTATGTTGGTTCTGGAATCTAGGGATTAGACTGCTTTAAAAGCAAGCTCCAAACCTGCCCTTGTAGCTAATCTGCTGGCTGCTTCTGGCAGCTTTCGAGGGGCCTCTGCTGGGAAGTTCATGTGCCAAAGCTGTTTTTTACAGGGACGTGATGATGGGCAGTTCAGAATCCTGAGGAGGCTCCTTCACGGTCACTGGGAGTAACTCTTCCCTGTCTCTGCAGAATCCGCAGGGGCAGTGGCAATGCTGGCCCCATGCTAAGAATATACCAGGCTCTCCCCTTCTGGATTATTCTTTTCTAGATGGCCACACCACTGTATGCTTTTAATTCGGACGTGGTTGAAAGAAAATAGGTAAGAAACGCTCTTTTCCACAAGCTTCTAAGGTGCCATTATGCTGGGTTCACAAAACAACTTTTAAGTCAACAGTGAATGACAGCAGTGGCTACGACTGGGAAGTCAATATGGGTATGGATACCTGTTGGGTTTGAAAGGAGGGGGATGTCACAAAATTTAGCTCCAGCAACTTCAAGCAGGCTGAGATTTCCAGGCAGTAAAACCTTCCATGGCTGCCTATTATCTCTATGACACAGCTTGGCACTCAAGGCCTTTCGACCAACGGATAAACTTATTGAGCACCCATTATGGCCAGGTACTCTCCTGGGTGAGCACACAGCAGTGCATGAAACAGGGGAGAGCAAAGCCCTGCTTTCAAGGAGCTCCCAGTGCAGCCACAGAAGACAGGCAGACGCACACACAGTAGTAGGATGTGGTGGCCTGCCTGCTGGCTCGCTCCGTGTTAGCCCTGAGGGGTAGAGAAGGCCAGGACGGGAGTGCTGTTAATTCCTGTGTCCTGAGCCAGATATGTGACATGTTGCAGAAAGAGCATGGAAGCAAGAGTGCCTGGAGCCGAGTGGAAGGGTGGGGGTGTTTTGGGGGTGAGACCGGAGGTGACAGGCTGGATGGGGATGCTGTATCAGGCACCGTAAGGCAGAGCAAAGGGGCAAAAGACACCATCTCATATTTTAACGTAACTGGTCTGGCCATGCTCTGAGAGCAGACTGGAGGACAGCCAGCATGGAATCGGGGAGACCAGTCTGGGTTTTCTGTTCTGCAATCCAGACAGGATGGTAGCTTGGAGGAGGGTGGGAAACAGAACAGGGAGAAAAAAATGTCAGATTCTGAAGTTTGAAAGTAGTCACTAGAATCCACTGAAGAATGAACTATGGGAGGGAAGAAAAAGAGGGAAATCCAGTATAAGTCCCAGGTTTGGGGCCCGAACAGCTGGAGGGAAACCTGAATGTGGTCTGGACAGGCCAAGTAGAAGCCAAGCAAACGTCTGTTGGACATTCCTTGACCTGGTCCCAACCTTTCTTCCGGGCCTCCTCTCCTTCCCGAGCCTGTAACGTAACCAGACCATCTTCCTTCCTATTCCCTGAATGGTCATGAGGGTTCCCCATCTCTTTTTCCCAGGAATGCTGTGTCCCACCAAAAATGGTGTCCATCTTAACTGAGTGCCAGTGGTCCCCCAATCCAAAAAAGAGCCCAATGGCCTGATTTACATCCAGAACACGAACACATTAGCAGCTTCCCATGCTGTCCTGGCCCCACAGAAACTTACAAATAGCTGGGAAAGGAAAGCAGACACACCCTCAAGAGAGAATGCTAACCTCTGGGGTACGGTAAAAATAAAGACCTCTGAAGAATGAGCAGAATGGGTGTCACAAGCTGGGGAATGTTTGCGGGGTGGGGGTGGGGGGGTGTTTGTGCACAGCTGTGAACAATTTTCCATTGGAAGCAGCTCTGATGATCAGCCTCCTTCGCCTTGCTCCTTCTCCCTCTGCAGAGCAATGGGCCCCAGGGCTGAAGGATGCTGCAGTTCAAGAACCTCCCATGGCACCAGACACACAGTAGGTATCCCACATGAGGCCTCCCACCTAGAAGTACATGTAGATTGCCACGACACGTCCAGGATTGTTAGGGGCAAACCCAAGCGTTCCCCCACCCTGTATCCCTGAGAATGGTTTAGTCCACTTTTATACTCAAAATCTTGGGACCTACCCTGGACATCTCCAGATCATTACCATCTAAGTCCCTGGTGAGGTTTCTCTCAGTTCTGCGTGAGGCCAGAGCAGCTTTCTAGGAATCCGTAAGTAGCACAACAGCACCTTCAGTGAACAGTCCCACCCGCCCACCCCTGCATTTGAGGTGCCCAGCAATCCGGGGCAGGGCTGAAACTGCCACTTGGGAGCTCACTCTTTCAGCAGAGGAACGACAGTGACTGGGTGGCTTACCCAGAGACAAGGGGAGAGGCAGCAGCACCTCAGACCATGCAGAGTCCTCTCCTTTTACAGGCAATAAAAGCGAGGCCCACAGAGTCCCTTTACTCCCTCAGCCAGTTGTGAGGTCCCCGAGGGCAAGTGCATCTGATCAGCAACAATCCCAACCCACTAGGGGTAATCACTCACAACAGATGTGAATCTAAGCTGACAGCCCTTGGGAACATGACCAATCAAAATCATCCACCTACATACTGTGCACAAGGCCCAACCCCAAGCACAGTGCAGGAGAACCCCTCCCCGCCAAATGGCTGTGCTGGCATTTCCAACTTCCCTCCCCCATACCGTAATTCAGGCTGAGGAAGGGAGAAGAAAGATTTCAGTGTACAATCCCAGCAGTGGGGAGACCAACAAGCAGACTGGGTCATTTCAGTAATTACAGAGGAGTAACAGGAATTTGCGAGGATTTCCCACGAAACTGGCTCAAGAAGCATTCTCAGCCTGGGTCCAGGATGTCTGTCTAAACGATTCATGGGGATAAACTGGTTCCTGATTTTGCACTGGGGCTCACACCGGTCTGGAGTGCAGAGGCCTGAGCAGGAGTCCTGGCCCCGCCACACTGAGACGCTGGGTGTTAATAATGATCATACGTAAGTGCCATTTACCAAGTGCTGGGTGTGTGCCAGGCATGCTGGGCTGTAGGGACGCATCATCTCATTCAGCGGGCACAGGCAGTCAGGGGAAGTGGGGGGAGGGAGCCTCATCTCACCACCACCTCCATTTTACCAGATGAGGACACTGGGATTCAGAGGCCCAAGTCACCAACCGCCCCAAGGTCAAGCAGCCGCTGACCGGGTGTGTCTGATCCCCCTGATCCAGAGCCCTCATACTTATGGCCTCAACTAATCCAAGCCTCAGTTTCCCCGGGGAGAGAGAGAAGAGAGCCTAGGGAAGCTTAAAACAGTCTTCTAGGCTTCCGAGGTGTGGTCCCAAGGCTGAGGGGGCGTGGCGTCCTCACCCTCCCCAGGCCGCTGGGCGGGAGAAGAGGGGGGTAGAGGGGAAGGAGAAACCTGGGAGTAGCACCCAGGGTCTGAACCCGCGCCTAGCGGCGGGGGGGTGGAAGGTGGGAAGGGAGTACTCACGTCGATGTTCCTCAGAATGACGCACTTTCCATTGGTGTAAAGAAAATTGTTGCCCTTGGGGTCGCCGCCGATGATTTTGGAGACGCCCCTCTCCACCTGGGGGAGGCTGGCAAACACCTTCTCTGCAGAGACACAAACCAAGCAGGGCGCGCGTTAGGGGCAGCCCCCACCTCGGCCCCCGGCCGGGCTGAGGACTGGGGACAGGGAGCGGACGAGAGAGGGGCCCTGGACCGGTCTCAGCCGGTCACCTGTTGCCTCCACCGGGAGGGGCGGCCGCCACTTTGAAGGAGCGCAGGGAACCGCGCGACTTCCTGGTCCGCGCTCCCGACCAGGCCCTTCAGGGACGCGGGGGCTCCCACGGGCCCAGCCCGCAGCACCAACTTTGGGGCACCCCCCCGGGCCGGGGATCGCCGCCG